TTCCAGCGGTAATGACGTGAAATGCATTCCTGAGGCAAGAGCATGACATATATCAAATCTTTGGAGGTTTAGAGACATATGAATTTATTGTCATCAACGCCAGTATCCATTGATAAACTGTTAAAGGAAGAGAGATCTCTATCTGTCAATGAAGCATGAAACCAGATCAACCAGCGCCATGAATCCAACAAGTTCTATCATAAGGGCGTCCCTGTCCTGAGACCCATGAAAGTGAAAGAAAGTTGTAATGTAATTGTACAATACTTGGAAAAGATCGTATTGTTGCAGTTCTGTAAAGCGAATCGTGGGTATATGCTCGTTAAGCAACATAAGGAAGGACATAAATGAAATAAAGAAAATCGCATCAACCAATGGGATGAGCTCCTGAAACCTGAACATATGATGATTGTGGTGAGCTATACAAGAATGCGCCTGGCCATGAGGTTTTTATCAGAGGATATAGGTGAGGATAGATGATGGGACATGGTTTGATGACACTGCTATGGAGTGTGGTTGCGGACCATATAATGGGCTGGAAGTCCTTGCAACCAGCCCTTTTGGTGATGTAGGAGGTGAGAGATTATTCAAAGGTGGCGCCTGCGGTAGTCTTTTCTGTGGTAGGCTCGGCTAATATGAATACTGATTATAGTGTCCAGGACTTCCAGGGCACAGCTTGAAAGGGTACGGCTTGGGGATGGTGGTGGTCATCATAGGTGACATGGTGTGAGGGTGCCCATGTAGGAGAAGGATAATGGCAGGTAATAGGCTATAAAACTGTCAGTTCACAAGAGTGAGTAATACAGAGAGACATGGCAACGTACTGGAGAGAGCAGGCTTCCATTCAAAGAGATGGGAACCATTGAGGAGAGATTGGCTTCGGCTGGATCCCAACCCCGCAGCGTGGAGTGCATAGGAACCGGCGAAGACGTCAGATCAGAGTCAATGATGCTACTTGGATAGGAATCGACCATGGTAGCTGGGGTAGATGAGAGTGAGGAACGGCTATGAGGCGGCAGAGAGAGCGTGGTGCCGTCCGAGGCGGGCGACGGGCAAGTTTCCGGAGTTGCGTAGAAACGAGTGTCCTCAACTGACTCAAAAATCTGGTGATTGCCATACATGGATACCTGAGGAGTTGAGTGCATATCCATCGCGTTCCACATCATAGTACAGTTGCTCGCGAGGCTCGGGTTGATGGACGAGCCCACCAGGGCTCCGATGGACATTGAGTTTGGTGACTGTGTGGCAGCGAGGTATGTGTTTATGGCTGGATCTATCGGCATGCACTTGGACACTCGAGGGGGTCCTGGAATAGTTGGGATATGGGTGTCCCGCTCCCATTGCGATGGGCTTTCCATCTGTGCCTCAAGTTCACTGTGAGGTCGACTGTCAGCTGTGCCTCCAGAAGAGCCAGAGCTCCATTCCCAGGGTGAGACTTACTGTCTTGCCATGTGTCGGGTTAATAAGTCTGAACGATGAAACTCCTTTCTGCAGTTCTGATGAGGGCAGCGGTATAAAGCTTCAGGCTTGTGGTTCAATTCATGACGTCTATAGGATGATAAGTAAGTCTGTTGTGGCACAATTGGGAGGCTATGCTACCTTCTATGTTCTGCTCTTGTAAACACCTGAAGATCTTGTCAGTAGACGTCCCTGAGACAGTAGGATGTCCAGCACCAACCTTGTTGCATCCCGGGAATTCGCAAGCATGCACACGCTTGCCCTTCTTGGCTTTGCTGATACGATGAGTGGTAGGTGTATAAGTGATAGGAAGAGGAATTTCTGATGCTGCATTGCTCCGACGCATGGTCACAGTGGTCTGTTTACTTCTTGTGGAGGACAATGATCTTTTAGAGGCAGAACGTCGCGGTTGATACGCTGTTGCTGCGGAAGATGTGCTTGATGTGTGGATTGACGTGGAGAGGTGAACTGGTGATTGAGAGCAAGATATAGCTTCAGAGTTTGAATAAGAACCTCTAAGCATGTCACAGGTACGCAGGACAATATGTGGGGGAGGTAGGCTGTGATGAAAGTTATTGTTGCGGTCCTAACAGCTAGCAGCGATGAGATTGGTCGATGGCGAGGAGGGTAAGACCAGATGTTGTAGAGAAAAAGCCTCGCATGCAAGTGACAGAGATGCAGTGGAGGGAAGGAAAAGGAAACAGTCAAGATGAAACTGACGGAATGGTGGCAAACAACTGGAGAGACTGAGGGGATGGAGGTGAGAATGAGGAAGTTGATATAGATAGTTTGAACCGTCGGAGTGGATATGCGAGGTACCAAGGCAGCCTCCTCCAGAAGATCTTCCTCACCCCCAGGCCCACAATTGGATGGTTTGATATGAAGATGATAGTAAAGAATTTAGGGGAAAAAACCTGAAACAATGGTATTATTGACGATGATTATTTTTGGTCAAACATAGCAACAAATCATGTAAGTAAGCGAGAGGTGCAGGTTTGATGATCAGTCTGCAGGGTGATCATACAAGCATGGCTATGTGCCTGCTAGCTAGGTTTACCTTGGATGACTCGGTAAAATCGTTGTACACACTGTTATCGATGCGTTTCCTGGCCGCAGAATTAGTGTGAAACTAGAGTAAAAATACTGCAGAGCCACATTAGCTCCAACAGTCTTAGTTACTGTGGAAATCAACCTTGACTGAGGTGAGGACTCTGGACCTCGAAAGTGGACATCAGTGAAGCATCAAAAGTTCAAAAGTTTATTAAATTAGAATAAAGCATGGTGGGCCCAGCGAACGAGGGCAGATTGCGGAGGTTACATTACACAGAGATAGATACCTTACAGGAAAGTCAAAAATTCCCCTGAAATTTGGATAAAAAAAATTGGATAGAACTGAAAATAATAATGCCTCCCCATTTCAGTCATAAGCAGACCACCAACATCCACACTGGGCCAAATGGGCTCGGATTAGCTCATGCGGCTGAGGCGCATTCGAAAAACATGGACATGCAAAGATTTGAAATATTATTTTTACCCTCGAGCCAACAACGTGTACAGCCAGGATTACCAAGTCCCAAATATACTTCAACGGTTTTTGGTTAGGCTGATTCTTATGCACAGGGACGAAGCCAGACTGGATCTTCAATCCCAAGCCACAACTTTTAAGAGGAAGGTCCAATTGCCCGTGGGATCAAAAGGAATGTAGCATTGTCTGAATACTACGTCTATGTTAGAGTTGTGCACTTTACTCATTTCACTTCTAACGTTTCTTTCCATTTGAAAACAAAGGCAGGGTGCTTACCACTGTGGAGAGTAGCGGACGGAGTACAGGTGCCTCAAAGTCATGATGACGAGATGATTTTCTGATGGTCAAGGGGTGTAGAGGCCATCCTAGACCACTGCAGCAGCATGAAAGGCAACAGAAAACAAATAATCACGAGAGGGTAATATAATAATAGCTGTCCATAGGACGAGGTTGAAAGTGTTGGTTGAGTAACGACTCTGATTGGCTGATTCGTAAATACTTCCATATTAGCTGCATTTTCCCGTGGAATGTGTGCTAATTATACCACTTTTCTCTACCCATTTGAGTTTACTTCGCTTGTCTGCAGGGATATTTGCTTTTGTTCTTTTTTCCTTTCTTTTTTTGTCTTTCTGCTCAGGCTGCTCCGGCACCGCTGACACCTTGGACCAAAGGCATTCAGGCTTCGCTCAGGTCAGCCTTAGACAGAAGTCTATCACGAGCTGAACAAAATTACCTATTATTGACTCAATTAGTATGCTGAACTTTTATGGGCTCCTAACATTTGCCAAGGACCAAGCCGTTGAACCAGCTCGGGCGGCTCATTTGGCTTCTGACAGACAGCAAAAAAGAAAAGAAAAGGAAGAGGATTCTGCGATTGGTCGTCCCCCGAATGCCTATGTAGGTCTGTTAAGAAGTTATTCCAAATGGTCGTTTCAAATTCCGACCCTTGCGATTATCCCTTCTGTTGGAAGTTAGAACGAGCCAACCAGAAGAAGTTCATCTGTCTGGCCCTCGTGGCCATAACACTGCCCCGCAACCAACACACACCATTTCAAGGAACCCCCAATTTCGTCTCGCTGATAGATCAACTCTATTATAGCCATAAGTCAAACATTAGTTGCAAACTTCCCCTTTTCGATGCTAGAGAAGGTTCGTCCCGTGTCGACTCTGCCTCCCAAGGCTGTGACGTCCGTATTTGTAGTTAAATATAGCTACGTATCTAGGGTCTATGCAATCTCGGGACCCGTCCCGTATTTTACATTTTACAAATCGTTCATGCTGCTCGATTTATTTAAAGACAGATATTTGAGTAACATTCCTCCATCAGAGGTATGGAGTAAGGAGCAGTAAGGTGCTCCGTAAACGTGGACAAGCACATCCACGTGTGGATAAATGCCATAAGCACCTTGCATCCTTCGCTTGCAGTGTCTACTCCCGGACTCCGTGCTCGTGCTCGTGCTTTCGGCACTAGTCCTTACCCGTGGCTTGTTGACAATTGACACTTGACAATCAACTGATACCTTACCTATGCAGCCCTCCGGGGGACGATCCGGCAATCTGCCCCAAATGTCCGGCCGATTTTGTACCACCTCTGTACTTTCCACGCTTCGCTTCCCTGTCAAGATCTCCGGATCCCGGCACCTGTAATAATACATTGTCCGTATCTCTGGACTCCTGGAGAAACTGGCAAAGAAATTAGGAGGAGTGGGCCATTCCTTGTCCATCCAAGCATAGGCTTAGCTTGTTTCATCCGGGTGATCAGGACGCCATTTAATGGACGACTGCCAGTTCTAGGACATGCCAAATTAAAGGAAAGAACGAGTCGATACCTGGATTTTACAGTTATTTCTGAAGCTTGTCCCAGCGTGTAGGGTACTCTGGCTGCGGGAGTTGTCTCCATGTACTCCGTATTCTCCATCATTCGGGGATCAACAACAACAATCGATCCCCAGTACGATCACTGAAGGTCTTATCAAGTGCCAAATTGGTTAGCCTCGGACCCAACGTCCGAAACATTTGTCTACTCGTCATCTGCACCCTCTAGTAATCTGTTTATGCATCCAACAAAATGAGTGCATCCATCATCATCATCATCATCATCCTCATCCTCATCCTCACTCTCTGTAAACAAACAGTCCTATCGGCTCATTCTGCAATTAACCCACACCTGCAAAACCTAGCCAATTACCCAGGAAATCAGTCCTCCGTAATTTCCTTGCAGGTGAACATACGACAGTGAGCTGACTGACGATTTCTCGAAATTTCCATCCAATACGCAATAGTTAACCCTCCTTGCCGGGAATGATCGTCGCTTCCACATGGACATAATCCGCATTAGAGTGCATTAGCTGGAATGCTGCAGTGAGCATGGCAGCATGGGTTGATGGAGGGGGAAATACGTGGCCGACCACCCATGACTTGGACACGGACATCGTTCGAGTCCTGGATTTCTGCAGAAAACTGTTCTTGATACTACAGAGTACATACTGAGTTTACGGCCGTTGCAAACGAAGTACTAAGTGCCCATCCACTCCGTAGCCATTCAGTAGTAGTAGGGCTGTGGAACCAAGCCTTGGAGGCTGCAACCCGAAGCTCATTGGCTCTTAAGTCCCTCAGATCTAGGCAAGGGACCTTAATCATTCGCACTTTGTTCACCTTACTCCGTAACAAGCAACATCCAACATTCCACAGGATTTTACATTATTACATTCGACTCGTGCTCGCAAAAGCCATGCGTGCAAGCGTCATGCATGGATGAGACCTTCGACGCTGACACAATGCAGCCAGGCTGCAGTCTAGCGAATCCACTCGCGACTCTGGCGTGTTGGTTGTGCCAGAGCCATCACGTGGCGGGGGTGGCATGCAAGGTTCCTAATCCTTCGAGTCGGGCCGGTGGATCAAGAAACAGGCGAGAGTGCGTTAGGACTGATAAATCACGGACTACTTAGACTAGTATTTCTGTAAATCGCCATTATTATTGATGATTATCTAGCTGTGTTGACGAAGGTGGCAACTGGCGAGCGATCGGCCAATATACTTCTATTCTTCCTTACTGTACTACGTGCTTCTGCCCTGGCGAGTCAGGCGGTGTCCCAAAATAGTTAGAGTGTTACAAGGGCACAAGATTAGATGCAGGCAATTCCAAGTACCGATCCGGTGTTACACAAGGGAACTTAGGGAAGCATGGTTGCGAGACGTGCGAACCTTGAGATTCCAAAACTCAAGTACTAAGGTATGCTAGTAGCACGTGTTGCTGGAGATTGTTATGAGAGTGAGACAACAACGTGGTTGTCTGTGGGGAAAAGGCAAAAGGCCCCTCTGTTAGTGTCAAGGGTGGTGTCACTGGTGTCACCAGTGTGCCAGTGATTCCTCAGTCATAGACTCATAATAGAACCTGTATAGAACCAGGATACCACTAGCCTATTACGGTATAGCTATGCTAGTGGAGTAGGTTCTCCACAAACCGCACCTTGCCTAGTCAGGAAATCGGCAAGGTCCGACAGGAATCGTAAGATCAACTGAAATTTGAAGTACTCAGTAACGGCAAGGTATCCAGGACTAGATAGCCACGGATGCAGTAAAACAGGTGCAAACAAGAAGGCAGAGCTTCCTAAACGTCGGTCATTAAAGCAGAGAGTAACTGAAGAGTGAGGATTAGCTCTTGAACTTTATAAACATTGCCCTTTACTTGACTTCGTCGTGTAGCCTCCCATTTTGAACAAGCCGCAGCCTAGACTTTGGTATTTGATTAATGGGTCCATTGCAAGTCGGAGAATCGGTAGACAGAGTAATCCGTGACAAGGATCCCGCAGCCGGAGCCCAATCTCGCCCCGGTCGAAAGGCCGTTCGATTGTGGACCTAGCACTAGGACCTAGTCTAAAGGTTAGATAATGGTAGATAGATAATAATTTGCAATGGTGACCAGATTTGCCAATCTTTCGGGTTCGGGCCCGACACGGTCTATTCTCGATGACGCTTATTAGCGTCTGACTAGATATCGATGGCATCATAGCGGTATTATTGAGTCTCGACTCCTTTAGTGAAATTGACAGCTAAGCCCTGCACGGGTGCACGGTTTGTAGCACTGCCATGCGATCGACTCCTGTCATTCATCTATCCCAAACATGACATAGGTAAATTTGCTGTCATCATGGAGACCTTGATTGAAGCATCGAAATCTGAAACGGGAAGGATGAGAAAGGTTGGTGTTGATACTGCGCCTTGTTCATAGGGTTACCCGTTCTCCATAAGAATTCAGCCTCGCCTGATTGCCTCAGGAGTGTGGGTTGGGACTTGGGATCTGCAAATCGCCAAGAACGTTGTACTGTAAATTTTTTCATGAGCTTAGGGGTGCAGAGTAAATTACAAGCTTGAATCCACTTTTGATCCTGATTCTTGAAGCCGAAAGGTAAAAAGCCTCAGAGTGGAGAACTCGGCCTTTCTCTTCGGATGGCGGAGAGAACTCCGGAGTACCTTCAGGTTTCCAATTGGTGCAATCATTGACCCTCCTGGCTCTGGCTCAGCCAAGTTAACGGGCTCATACCAATTGCCTATTTCGACGTTCATGGTCCTTCAGACATGCTATGGAATCGTGGATACTGGAGTGACTTGTAAGACTGGACCCTGAGCAAGTGACGACCCCTGAAAGGAGCGGAATCTCACCAATCACAATTGTCACTATCAATAAGGATTCTGCCACCAAGTAAGATCAATCCTCCAGATAGCATCATCTGAGGATTCAATAACCACTAACTCATGTGGCTTGCTGGCTTGCAGCCAATACCTCACCAGCAGATAAATTAATTGATCCCAACGCTGAGACAGTTGTCTGTATTCTGCTTGGATTCCACGGGACCAGGATCTGGAAGACCAAATGCCACTCTAGTGTGTTAACGATAGTTTCTCATCGATAACTCCTATGTTGGTCTCTATCTCGAGAGTTTGGAGTCCATCGCAGACCGACCGGCAGGAACCGTCTGTGCTCCTACCAGTAGTGGAAAAGCGGCCCAGTCATCGCCAGGTGCCGCGACCGAATTTAGCGATGAATTGGAGTATTGGAGAACGATCTCAAGCTCGACTCCTTTTATCTCTGGATATATACCTGATTGAGTAGGAGTCTGCTGTCAAGGAACCTGTAGTTGTCAAAGTTTTCGAGTCAATCCACCCCATCAGATACCGTCCGCATGATTCACTAATACTCCGTAGCGTGTAGCCTAGTCTACTGCGTACTATTGCAGTTCAGTGGTAGGTCATATTAACTTTCTGTCCCTGAGGAAACTGGCTCGGCAGTCTCCCGTCGTCGTGACTACTTAATCTTGCCTAGCACCGTTGTGTCTCTCTTGACTAGTGGTGCGCGATCGGCGCCATACCAATCAGCTCTGTATCCGAGCATGCAAAGAGCGCCAAAGGCCTTGGCAATCTCCATCCTCCAGCTGCCTTTTTGGGAAGATATCTACTAGTCGACGAATTGGACAATGACTTTACCTGGAGCTATGTGGGCTCTGAAACTGCTGCATGAGTATGTTCGCTTCTGCCAGCCAAAAGGGGAGATGTGTTCCTACAATTAGATGTGGAAGCATTTCCTTTTGAAGATGGGCCTAGCTCCTGTCTAGAGATTTTTTTCGGGAGCGGCAGATGGTCTACCGTCTACCCTAACATCCCAATCACTGGTGTCGCAATTGTAGATCTTGAAGCTTTGGTAACCTCCTGAATTGCGCCAACTGTGCTAAAATATACTAGCCGGAATCCGATCTGTCATGTCCCCGCTAATACTCCGTACAACGGCCTTGTATTCTGAGCAAGATGGGTTCTCGTCCAGCTAATGAACAAGGGTGTTGTTAAACCAAACTGTTAAGAAGTGAAAAACGCCCTTAATTAAACTGCTTCTTTGCGTTTGGATAGGATTCGATTCCTTGCTCGGATGCAGAGATTGTCTAACACAACGTGGCCAATGCCAGTGGCAGCATTAAGTGCAAGCCAACAGAGATTAGTTCAGTAATTGGCTGTTATATCTCATCTACATAAATTACAGCGTCGCATGAAAATATATGAAGGCTGAATTAAATTAGTTGCTCAAGCGAGGCCACTGTCAGCTAAAGACAGGGATTCTCCCTGCGTACTCTGTACCTACTTTCATTTTGCAGGATGGGAAACTGGTAATGGGTAACCACTAATACACGGGCATGTGCCATAAGGCGATTAAGGGATAGCCTGAGGTGTCGTTTTTAATATTATATTATTGTCTGGAGAATATGTCAACGACCTAATCGATCAGTCATGCTCTCAAGGCACCCGCACACGCAGTCACTCGAGAGTGCTTATCTTACCAACTAACTGCTTAACGACGTTCTGCACACCATTAGCTTCGTCAATCTTCACCTAGCACTCCATTTGTGGATGCCACCTGCCATAGAGCTTTTTATAGGATGTCCGTAAAGAAGACGATCACCAACATTGATGGACGTCCACCACCAATCGTATCCGGCCAACCCTGCGAACCAACACCTCCTGCAGAACGAACACGATGATTTGCTCGTATTACGGGTCATCATGCACCGGATAGACAACCCGTGTGGCTACCCGTACAGGATGACACTCGACAAGTGAGCTGAAGCTGACATCATCTTTCCTCTCATCCTTGCTGTTTCGTTAAGCCACGGGAGGTGAGATGGTGATATCTACTCCGTACAAGGGCACTGGTGCGTGTGTCCCTAACTTGCTCTGAGTCTACCAAGGCCTATCATGATATCATGATATCATGCGCCTGGCCATGAAGATAGTCAGATGTCCAGATACGGACGCTTACTGGTCAGTTGGCTGATGAGTCCAGCTTCGATCGACATCTTCCTACTTCTGTGACTGCCTGGTCAGGCCATCAGCCAGTCTTCAGAGCTCAGATTAGACATCCCCGTCGCCACAGACGTCGAATTGCTGTGCATGGACGTTCAGAAATTTACTTCCAGGTTCTCTCTTCCACTGGTCTTCCCCATACCGCGACAGCCGAAGATGACCATAGCTTCGCCACATATTCTGCCTCAGTCACAGCGACACGGAGTCTTATCCGTAGCGAAAGACGTCAAGAGGATGATGTGAGTGGCATTATTGCAGATCATGCACGACCCTCAGCCAATACAATGTTTCTCACGGTCATAGGAGGCGAAACTGGTCAGACCTGGACGTATATTCAGCAGAGAGGCAGAGGCCGTGTATTGATTCAGCCCGAGCTGGATATCTCTGTGTAAGATACAGTGTTAACCACGTGGCTGGGATCGGGATCGCATAGACATGACAGGTACATGCCTGCAGTGCAATTAGCAGGCTCCAGTAGCGCGGACGCGGACTGTGCAGATGTTAAATCTTATGTTAGTCTGCTTGGCTTGCTTAGCAAGTGCATAGGAGAGATAACGAACAGAAGTTGAATACCGGTCTTGTGATGTCTGACAACTGTATAGTATGTTAAGATGGCAACTGAAGGTAGAAGGGACGTGTGGGATGCATCTGCATGCTCTGGCTCAAGAATCAAAGGAAGAAATGTAGAGAAGTTGATTCTTTTCATTTCAAGTGGTCAATATTGAATTCCGAAACAAGTGTCCCGCTGGAGGAGTCCACATTTTAAATACAGAACCAATGTCAAAAAGCTCGCTCGACAAGATTGCTGTACAAAACCCCTCTAGATGCATTCATGGAAACAAATATTGAATACAGGCAAGAATGACAAAGTAAAAGCAAAAAAACACCACGTATGCTTATGCTAATATGCCGAGAGTATTCGCTGTGATGCTAGATGGTTAAGAAACATCCATGTTGACAATAACCTGAACGGTTGTATGGGAGTAAAAATCAAGGTGTGAAGATCGTGATAACAAGCGAAATGACGCCTGAGTTAATGAGCAACAACTGCTTTGAGAATAGTCTTGAGCTTCGACTGTTCCTTTGGAGGCTCATCTCTCCGATGTCTGTGATGGTGATGGCGCGTTTCTCCACCATGACGGTGGCGATGATGCTCGGTCGTTTCTCTTTCCTTTGGCTGCTCTGCTTCGTCCGCGACCCTTCGTCGCGCCCTTCTCTCGCGTCGAGCGTGCTCTTCCTCCTCCGCATGCTGGGAGCTTGTGGAACGGTCTGTGGACCCTCTTCCTTCGTGCGAGTGACGGTGACTGTGGGAATGGCTTGTGGAAGACCGACGCTCAAACACGTTTGCAGCAGCTTTGTTACCATTGATCTTGAGAAGGGGACCGTTCGTTTCTGATTCGGCTGCTGTCATATATTTCAAGAAGGCTCGCGGCTTGGAACCCGATGCATGGCCGTCCCTTGAGGAGGTGCTTCTACGCTCGCCTCCGCGACTACTCGAGTGCTCTCCGGTCTGTCGGGCCGGTTCGATACTCGCGGCAGCCTTTTCTCGCGAAGAACGCTCGACTTCATAGCTGCCTGAGCGCTCGGACCTTCGTCGACTGGGCTTGACATCCAGGGCAGCTTCTTCTTTCGATGAACGCTCGCTTCGTTTAGAGCGCTCTCGCTCCAAGGAAGGCCTGTCCTTCTCTGTCTTCTCGGGAGCACGCAATTTGTCTTTGCTCCGTTTTTCCTCCTGCCGTAGCTTTTCTTCATGCTGTCTCTTGGCTTCCTCGAGAGACTTGTTCCACCGATCAAGGAGACTGCCACTTCGCTCAAGTTTCTGGCGTGGCAATGATCTTCGTACTTCCTCAGAGGAACTCTTCGAATGTCGTCTCTCTCCCAGATCGGGGGACCGCCTCTTCCTCCTGCGTGCACGATCGGCTAATATGGCGGCTGGAACAACAGCTGGCAAAGCTGCCTCCAAGGGCTCCAAGCCATCGATATCTCTCGAGGTTTCCTCAACAGGCGTTGGCTCTGGAGCCTCTTCGGAGACTTCCTGGTCCACAGGAGCGGGTTCTTCGACTGGGGTAGGTTCCTCAACAGGAGCAGCTTCCTCAACAACGGCAGGTTCCTCAGCAGGAATCTCCTCAGCGGCAGCAGGCTCTTCAAGGGGGGCAGATTCCTCAGCTGGAACAGGCTCCTCGACCGCAACAGACTCCTCAGCAGGAGGCTCTTCCACAGGAGCAGGCTCTTCAACAGGAGCAGGTTCTTCGACTGGGGCAGGTTCCTCAGCAGGAGCAGGTTCCTCAGTAGGAATTTCCTCGGCTGCAGGAGCCTCTTCAACGGGGGCGGATTCCTCAGTAGGGACAGACTCCTCAACAGGAGCCTCTTCCACGGTAGCAGGCTCTTCAGCAGGGACGGGCTCTTCAACTGGCGCTGTTTCCTCAGCAGGTTCTTGCGCAGGTGCTGGCTCCTCAGCAGGAATCTCCTCAGCCGGAGCAGGCTCTTCAGCGGGGGCAGGTTCCTCCAATGGAGCAGGATCTTCGGTAGTGACGGACTCTTCAACTGGCGTAGGTTCCTCAGCAGGAATCTCCTCAGCGGCAGCAGGCTCCTCAACGGGGGCAGGATCTTCAACTTGGGGAGACTCCTCAGTAGAAGGCGGCTCTTCAACAGGCGCAGGTAGATCAGCCGGAGCGGATTCTTCAACTATCTCGGGTTCATCAGCAGGAGCAGGCTCTTCGGCTGGAGCTGGGTCTTCAGCCGCGGGTTCTTCTGTTGGGGCAGGCTCCTCGACAGGAGTCTCATCAACTGGAGTGGGTTCTGCAGCCGCAGCAGGTTCTTCGGCTGGAGGCGGTTCCTCAGCAGCAGCCTCTTCAACTGGAGCAGATTCGACATCTGGAGTAGGCTCTTCAGCAACAGGTTCCTCTGCCGGGGCCTCTTCAACAGGAGTCGATTCTGCAGCAGGAGCTTCTTCAGCTGGAGTCTCCTCCGGTTGCGCAGGCTCTTCAGCTTCAGGTGCAGCGGGGGTCGGCTCCTCGGCAGCAGGAGATTCTTCAGGTGCAGGCTCATCTGCAGGAGGGGGCTGCTCGGTAGGTGCTGGCTCTTCGGCTACAGGTTCGGGGGAAGCAGATTCTTCGACAACTTCTTCATCCGAAGGCGGTGACTCTTTAGCAGCTTCTTCAGTGGGAGGTTGCTCGGGTGGTATTTCATGAGCCTCCTCTTCCTTCCCTTCCGCTGGAGCTTCCGCAGGGGTTTCCTCTGGTTGAGCCATCTCATCGCTCGGGGGTGCTTCTGGAGCCGCTTCGGCGACAGCATCTTCAGCCACAGTTTCGTCCACAGCCGGTGCCTCAGTTGCTGGTTCTTCCGATGCGGGAGCTTCGGTTACCTCCTCTTGCTTCTCCTCGACTGCGTTTTCTTCAACCTCAGGCTCTTCAGGGGCTTTCTCAGTAGTGGGCTCCTCTAACGTCTGCTCCGCCTGTGCGGTTTCGTCTGCAACGTCATCTGCCGTTGCATTCTCGGCAGCTACCGCTTCTTCTGGAGTGTTTTCCTCCGCCGTTTCAGTTGGTGCCGCGGGTTCTGCCTCAGAAGAAGGTTCAGGTGCAGGCTCTTCAGCAGCGGGCTGCTCCTCAGCAAGGGGATTCTCAGTGGTAGCTTGCTCTTCAGTGACGGGCTGCTCTTTTGAGTCATCGGCCTCGGCAGCTTCGGCCAAGTCGTCAACTACCTCCTCCGCTTCGGGTGGTGGGTCGCTCTGTTCTTCAGCAGGTCCGTCCGGGGCTGGGCTATCCTCCGTGTCGGGTTTCGTCGCATCTTCGTCTGCCGACCCGGCCGTTGGTGGGTCGCCCTGTACGGGAGCAGCTTCTTCGCTGTCCGGATTGTCTGTAGGTGAGATCTCATTTCCAGTATCAATATCGACGTCATCAGGGACCCCTGCGGCGGCTGCTGCGACTGCTGCCTCTTCTTCTGCCTTTGCATCCTCCTCCGCTTGCCGTGCCGCTTCCTCTTTCTCGGCCTCCACCTTATCGAGTTCCGCGGACGGATCACATTCTGGAAAATCATCCTCTGGGAATGAGGTCAGCTGGCTTTGTGCATTCCGGTATCCGTAAGCATACCGTTGCTCTCGCCTTCCTTGCTCTCCGGCGCGGGACTCTCATCTACCGCAGCTGCGGCACCATCACCTTCCTCGGGCGGTGGGTCTTGCGCTGCATCTTCAGTGGCCGCTTGCGTCTCGGGGGCGACAGCGTCTTCCGCTTTCTGCTCGGTACCGTCTGCCTCTGGCGCAGGTTCTCCTTCCTTGGCTTCTGGTGCAGGCTCATCGGACGGTTCAGGCTGAGGTGGAGCAGCTGCCGCTTCAGGTGACTCTAGACGAACGTGAGCAAGGTGAACCCAGATAAAGAGAGAAGGTGGCGCTTGGCAAGCATACGTACCTTCGGATTCGGGTGCAGGTGCAGCGTCATCGGGAGAACTACTTGATCCTTCTACGGGAGCACTCTCTGGGGATGGGCCTTCCTCGGAATTGGTCGCGTTATTGGTGATATCCTGATCCTTATCCGATGTCAGACCATCCGAAGAAGTAGCAGTGACGGGATAAAATGAAAATTGCAAAGTTTGACGGTCGAAGGTCTGATATTGACGCTCGATTGTCTGATATTCAAACTTGGGAAGCTGTGCATACTGTAGGTTGGCCATGGTCCCCAGCCTCGGCGGCCTCTTCAAGGCCGGACTCGGCTGAAGGGTTGTCTTCAGGGAGGGAGAACTTGTTATCGTTCACCGGCAGGCGTTGGCTATTATTTTTATTGTTCTTCTTTTTGTTCTTTGCTCCTTTTTTGGCCATGGCATCGGATCAGTAACAGTACGTCCAGCTATAAGCCTCTCGGTTCGGCCCAGTTGATGTATCGATTTATATAGACAAAGTACGTCTTCCCTGTCAGACTCACTTCAGGGGTGGGAAACAATCAATCAGATAAAAAAAGAAAAGGAAGATGCAAGAGAACGGAAAGGAAGATTCAAACATGAACAGGCATGGAAAGACGAGTTTGGGGCAGACACTCATGTGTCAGGGAGGCCAAATCGGGATTGAACAAGCAGCACGCGTCTTGTCTCTCCGCCAACAGCATGGCGGTTCCGCCCAACCAAGGCGAGGCGACGTATAGCCGTCCGCCTGTACCCATTGGGTTGGGATACTGTCAAACTACAGTTGAGTCTTGAGGCCGGATGGCCGTGGGACGTCGCCGGCGAACTACCCAACGGCATGGTTTTTGATTGGGCCACGTCTCACAGATTCAATAGCCCTTGACGAATTTAGGAAAAGAGCTTGGGAGAACCCCTCCCGAAAGCATCGCTAGGGCCGGGAAAAAGCAGGACGATTGCCATCTGCAGGAAGAGGATGCAGTAGCCAGCACAGCCAGCGGGGCGAGAAAGGGAATTGACGATAGGGAGAAAGGGAAGCCGCCCAGTGGTGGAGTTGCGTGGGTTGTGGATAACCGGGTACCGCAGGGTTGGTGGGGTGGTGCCACCGATAGATGAATCATGATTGTCTGTGTTGCTTTCTCTGTTTTTGGCCATAACCCGCAATAGCCTCGCGCGGTTAAGCCAACGCGCGTGGACGAAAAGAGTAAATCATTAGGAGAAGCGACCAGCGAAGAGAAGGCTTTCGTCGGGCAGCTCCTATGCTAGACAATAAACGTCATCTTAATGGCATCGTAGATGCCAAGCAGATCGAATAGTGATGCAGAAGAGAGGAAGGACTCTGGCTGTTTCCTATGCTTAGAAGAAAGATAGACAGAAAGCCTCCAGTGGCCAGCAGGACAACGAGGATGACAATCATGTGCAACCTCTCAGGGACACTCCTCAATCACGGATTCCTGCCCAACGCAAATTGCGGGCGGCGGCCGGAATAGGGTGCACAATGTGTGGAGGGTGCATCGAAGCACCAGCCAGCATGACTGGGATCAGACTGGAGTGCATGATCGACTTCTGTCCTGTTCATTGCAGCAGATTGTCAATCGTTATCACCAGCTTGTTTCATTTCTGCGATTACGACATCGACGATGATAGTCGGGACACAGAATAGACAATTCTTGATGAAACCGAGTCTTTTGGGGGGAGAAAGAGGAGGCGTTCCAACTCCACAAGACACTTCATCAACTAGAAGATCAGTCTAGACTGCTTTAGGCAATGCCAAAATACTCCAAGTCCCAATCTCCATCTACCATTGTCCTTTGAAGAAACCCATCTGATGCTATATTGATGTTATCATCTAGATGAATTGGATACTGCCAACAAGAATAACCTGACAAATATACTGTAGAAGACAGAGAATAACCCAGAAGTTCTGATTGTGAAACACCAAAAAGATGCGTCAGTAATCAGCCGGTTTGTTTACTATTGCTGCACCTAAAAAATGAGGCGAGGATTGCTGCTTTGGCGGTCAATGAGTGGTCGATTTCCACCTAACTATGGAGCACGAACTAGCCAGAACAGTTTGGGCGCATTTGAAACTGAAAGGGCTCTTCGTCACGCCTCTCTTAATCGATATTGGCGAAAGCAAAGGAGAGCAGAAGCTGCAGAACAATAATAATGTATGGAGCCATCCTCACTACGGAGTATTGCACGCTGAGAAGCAGCCCGAAAAGCGCTGCTCAGCCCATTCAATGCTACCAGAAAAACAAAATTAACTTCAGATAGATAGATAGATAGACGTTGAGAAGTCGGTTGCTTGCCGTCCACAGCCATAAGCAGGGCGACGAATCATAGAGCCAGATGCAACAGGATATATAGTAGCACCTTGGTAGTCTCTATAGAGAGAGTTTCCTGTGGTGGTTACCTGCATAATTGCAGATGATCCCTGATCTATCACAGACCACTGCTTACCTCAAGTATATTCTTTGCTCCTGCGGCAACTGATTCACAACATGCAAAGAGGTTCAAGAGCTACAAACAAGGTATTTGACGAGTCTACTACATATGGCAATCGGATGACAGATAGCGCTCCGAGGCCGCGCAAAGATATGCCATGGCCCTTTCTCTACCTCAGTGCGTAGTGCAGTACATTTACCAGTGAATGATAGATCATGTGGTGAAGCTTTTGCCCATCCAAACAGTTGCCACCAACCAGACCATCTCAAATAGCCTCCACTCATCATGGCGGCGACGTTTTCCCTACGCTCAGAATCACCATCATGCTTCAAGATCTATAGATCTAAGGATAGAATATAGTAATACAGAGAATCTGTATTCCCTACTGTCGATAACTTGGGCTGGACCTACTATTTCAGCATCAAAATGCAAATTGCGCGCTTACAGATCGCCTACACCAGGTACCAGAAGAGCAGACAATTCGATGATTGCTTTATGCTATGCAAACATGACTCGTAAAAATAACGTTATTGGGGTATCTTTTTGCATTCTGACCCAAAACAAGATCTGACTAGTGACTAACAGCATCCATCGACTTTCTCCAACGAGGTCCAAATACTTTCATAGCGAGAATCACTGAGCTGCTGGCGAAAGCGACCAGCCCAAGGATCGTAAAGAGCCATCCGTTCCCGATGGCATCAATAATGGGGGCTGTCACTAGGGATCCGATGCATGAGAATATATTTCTCATAAAGTTGTTCAATGCGACTCCAGTCGATGATTTCTTAGGCATGAATTCGGTCAACATCGTTGTTGACATGCTGAATATGAGCATTGATCCGACACCAAAAAAGAAGTTGGCAGCCATCTGGGAGACAAAGTTAGTTTTCAAACCCCCCAGTAAAACAAAACGCTTGACCAACTAACCGGCGCAAACCAGAAGACCCCTTTTTCAGCAGTCCAGCCGTACCAGATCAATGCTGCAGGATACAGAAATGCGCCCAGCCAAGCATTCTCACGCATGCGATCCTCCGGGCGATAAATCAACTTGCCGTGCTCGTCATATCTGCCGGCCTTCTTAGCCTCACGCTGCATAATATTGTCCATCCATCGGCCGCCGAATATACTAGCAGCTATGTAACCCAGCGAGTTCGGGATATAGAGGCATCCAACAATAATGGTGCTAAAGTTGTAGGGGTTCGTTCCAAACGTATGTTCAACGCTGACGTTCAACACGTACAGGGAGCCGAAGGTGATACTCGCGTAGTATACAGTCAAAAGCACTGCGGGATAGCGCAAGTAAAGAACGACCTTAAGAGGGTCAAGGAAAATTATCTTGAGAACCTTCAACCATCTGGCCGTGAGGTGAACGACCTGGCGTGAAGATATCCGGCTGAGTTGTCGTTCAACGGGTGCTTGTTCATCCCCATCACGTGGCTTTCGATTGGCCAATGTCTCGGGAAGTGCAAAAAAGATGAATATCACGATGATTCCGCCATAAACGGCCAAGAGCCACATGGTACTCCTCCATCGCCAACGCTCTGCCAGAGCACCCCCCACGATGGGAGCGAGCAAAGGACCGCACAGCGGGCCTAAGTAGAAAATGCTCATTGCGCGTCCCCTTTCATGCGGGTCCCACAGATCTGCTATCGTCCCTGCGCCAACTGCTTGAACTGATGCCGATGCTCCGCCACTCAACATGCGCATGACGATCAGCATCGATATGGAATGGGATACGGCACTCAGAACGTTGAACAACACAAAGAGACTGAAGGATACGAGGTATATCGTTCGTCGACCCAGCCTCTCGCTGAAAGACGACCACCAAAGTGGAAAGATAGACATGCTCAGCATATACAGCGAGATATTCAAGTTGACGACAGTGGTTGATGCATCCATTTCTTTGGAAATTTGAGAGAGGGAGGCTATTGTGAGAACCTGTTAGCACGTGCTAATGAACGATATATCGACCCTTTCGGTCAGCGTGGAATTCCCGAAGCGTGAGGGTAGCAAGGCCACCGACGAGAGTTGTTCACCGAGAAGGGGAGCGCATCAACAAGGGAAGTGGATCGGCCACAACGGGGTCAATTCTAATGGCAGTTGAACTGGGAGCCACTTACGGAATAGTATCGAGCTACCCATGGGAGCCGTAGATCCCGCCAGCGCGACAATGAATGTGATAAACCACTTCGTTTTTCGGAGATACGTCTTCGGATTCTCAACCTCTGCCAGCAGGGTGAGTTGTCCGAAAAGCCCCCTGCGCTTCAGCCTCGGCACCGCTATCGGCAAGCTTTCATGTTCTGCATATGGAACATCAATCGCTGTGCCCTTCACATCCATGGCCGACTGCGCGGGCGATCCCGCGAACGAAGAATGGGCATCTTTTTCGGCACATATGTCTTCGTCTCCGGGCCTTTTTACTGTTGGAGCATCGGTATATGCGGTTTCAGCCGACGTGATTTCGTGAACACCTTCCTCCAAGTCCGCGGAAGTCATTTCTTATGTATGGGGAATTCGTTGGTCGTGAAAGAAAAATAGTTCTTGTGGTTGTTCCTCTGAAATTGGGCCGGAGGATAAGATCGATGACGCAAGATGCAAGCCCGTCTGCATCAGTCTTCTGGGGATGTCCGGGAAGATCCAACAGGTACTTTGTCCAAAGAGAAGAGAGAAAAGCCGAGAAGAAAGATGAGAGGATTATAGAGCAGTCAATGAAGATAGTGTGCAAATCCTGCAACAGTAGCAATGGCAGTTAATAAGACTGGTGGATATATAAGAGAACAGCGATTCTTCCTCATGTCCTTCAGAAAGTTGTGGAGAAATTCATCTCAAGA